CACCTATGCTAAAGAGTTTGTCTTTGTCCACCCTGTCAATACCCCTGAGAATTTTGTAGGTGGTTATCACCCTTACTCTTCTTTTTTCCAGAGATGTGAGGTTCAGCTTCCTTAGCTTTTCCTCGTAGCTCATATCTCTCAGTTCCGGGACTAGTCTGGTGGCATACCTCTAAATCTTCTGTAACTTTGTTTTGTGTTTAACTAGTTATAGACTCCAGGCTGGAGCTGCATACTCCAGGATTGGTCTTAAATAAGTGGTATACAAGGTCCTGAATGATTCCTTACACAAGTTTCTAAAGGCAATTCTTATGTTGGTCAGTCTCACATATGCTGCTGCTGATATCCTTTAGATGTGGGCCTCTGGGCACAGGTTCAGTGTGATATCAACCCCCAGATCTTTCTCTCTATTTGACTCTTGCAGGAAATCACCTCCCAGATGGTACATTTTGTTCAGCCTTCTGCTCCCTTTGCCTAATTTCATTACTTTACACTTTCCCGAGTTGAACTTTAGTAACTATTTTCTAGACCATTCCACCAGTTTGTCCAGGTCATCCTGTAGTCTCTGTCTATCTTCATCTGTCTTGATTCATCTTATAATTTTTGCATCATCAGTAAACATTGAGAAGAATGAGTCTATACCCTCTGGAAGGTCGTTTACATATATTAGAAACAGGATGGGTCCAAGTACAGAGCCCTGTGGAACCCTTCCGGTGACATCTCGCCACTCTGATGTCTCCACCCTCACAGTTACTCACTGTTTCCTGTTCCTTAGATACTCCCTTATCCACTGGAGCACCTTACCTTTTACTCCCACCTGTTGCTACAACCTTTGTAACAGCCTTTTGTGAGGTACTGTGTCAAAGGCTTTCTGATAGTCCAAGAAAATGTAGTCTGCCCACCCTTCTCTTTCTTGCCTAATTTGTGTTGCTTGGTCATAGAATTCTATTAAACCTGTGAGGCACGATTTACCATCTCTGAACCCATGCTGGTGGTGTGTTAAAAAGCTATTTGCCCTCCAGATGCTCTACGAACCTGTTCCTCACGATCTTCTCCATCACCTTGCATGGTATACAAGTTAGGGAAACTGGCCTGTAGTTCAGTGACTCTTGCCTGTCACCCTTTTTTGTATGTTGGGACTACATTAGCTGTCTTCCAGCTTTTCAGTAGGGCTCGTGTTTCCAGTGATCTGTTATACACCATTGAGTGGGGCACACTTAGTGCCTCTACACCTTCTTTTAGTATCCACGGTAAGATTATGTCAGGCCCAACAGCCTTTGTCACATTCAGTTCGAACAGATTCCTTTTGACCTCATCACTATTGAGGTTAAATTCCTCCAAGGTTGCTTGGTTTGCCTTCTCATTTAGTACAGGGATTTCTCCTTGTTCTATTGTGAAGACCTCCTGGAATCTCTTGTCGAGTTCTTCACACACCTGAGGCAGCCTGGGTGGCCGCAGCTAAGGTGGTTAAAGTAATCTTCATTGATGATCTGTCAGTGCTGCAGAACTCTAGGTTGAATATACCCAGGTTTGGATTTTTGTCCTCGATATTGTCCATGACCTTATGTTGCAGTTGGTCAGCGATCCACTGGTTGGTCCTGCTGGTAAAAACAGTTCTTCTGGCCAGTAACTGTTGTGGGAAGTGAGAATTTAGGTGGTGCTCCTTACCAAGTATTGCATCGTTGGTCAAGAGTTTTTCTAGTTCTTCCTCTCATGAAAAGAAGAGCACGTTATCATCACCTTCCTGACTAATATCAATGGGTGTGATGCCGGTAACGTCATTCAGAATGTTGCTTTACCCGAAAGCATGACCATCAAGGGATGGGGGGGTTGCTCTAACCTTTAGACGTTTGGATCGCACTGTGTTCACACCCTCAACGGGTCGCAGCGTGAGAGAATGAGTGTGAGAAAGGAACAGGCAATAAGGAAAGAGTGAGGTGAGAAGCACGTAGGAGAAGGAAATTCTTAGAAGGTAAGAGTAGGGCAAAATGCAAGAAAGGATGAAAGGTGCGAATGGAATGAGTGTAATAATGGGAGGTTACCTTGAGGTTACCCTGAAGTGTTTTCAGGGTGTCCCTGCGGCCTGGTAGTTGACCAGGCCTCCTGGTTGCTGGACTGGTCAACCAGGCTGTTGAACGAGGCTGCTCGCAGCCTGACGTATGAATCACAGCCTGGTTGATCAGGTATCCTTTGGAGGTGCTTATTGAGTTCTCTCTTGAACACTGTGAGGGGGTCAGCCAGTTATGCCCCTTATTTGTAGTGGAAGCGTGTTGAACAGTCTCGGGCCTCTGATGTTGATTAAGAGTTCTCTCTCTGAGTACCTATTACACCTCTGCTCTTTAACGGGAGAATTTCACTATTTCACTGATGGCCTTTTGCTCTCTTTGCCTCTCCTGGGTTTTGTATGATTCTTGAAGCTTTATTTCAATTCTTTCTATTTCTCTACCTAACCTCCTTCGCCGTTCTTGAGATAAGGTGCGACTCTCATGTTGTTGTTCCGCGATTCGTTTTCTTCGCCTATAGAAGGAACGATGTTCACGTTCCAGCCTGCATCTCTTCCTCTTTTTTTTCTTAGGGGTATGCTGTTTAAACATATTTCTAGTGCTACTGAGCTTATTTTTTCCAGGCACAGGTTCAGGTTTGCATTTTCTAACTGTTTTTCCCAGCTTATTTCTGTGAAGTCTTGGTTTATTTGCTACCAGTTTATCTATCTATTATTGAAGTTGAATTTGCTGAAATCTCCACCGGCAATCGGGACTGGTTTTGAAGGTCTATTCCAGTCCCGTCACCGAGCAAGCAGCACCTGAAACCAAGGCTGGGCCGGCCTCCAAGGGGCCAAGAGAACTACTCTCCTGCGGTAGGACTCCAACTAAGCAAGAACCCAAAGCAACAGCTGGACCAGATGGGAAGAGGTACAGGTAACCCCACCTTGACCAGTCCTATCGAAAAGCATCCACCGTGAACCCTCCGAGGTTGGGGAAGGGCGCCACATATATCGGGAGACGCCTCAACCAAGCCAATGTGAAGAGGTCCACCTCCGGGAGCCTGTACGTCTGGCAGAGCCAACTGAAGCAGTCGTCGACTGTCCATTCCGTGGACAGGGGAACGAACTGAGACAGGTCGTCCGCCAGGACGTTGGACACTTCCCCGGATATGACCCACACGGAGAGCCAAACCCAGAGAATCCAGTAGACAAGCCACTTGAAATGACCAGCCCCAAAGAGGCAAGGGCCAAAGGAAACCCCCTGCTGCTCAGGCAATGAACCACCGGAGAACTGTCCGAATGAAACAGAACGGTCGAACCCCGAGTGACCCAAACTCTCCTAAGTGACAGCCAGATCGCTGCGAACTCCCACACCATGCTGTGAGCCCGACGGAAAGACGAACCCCACTGCCCCTGAAGGATGAACTGAAGGTGTGAGTAGCTAGTACAGGGATCCGGGGCTTCCCCCGCCCATTCACAGAGAGGGGAGGGCTGCGCAGTGAATGTGTTTTTCTTGTTGGCTTGTTTCCTTGTGTGTTTGGGGGAGTTCTGTCTCTCTGTTAGGTCTTTGGTCGCAATTTCTCTCCAGATGGGGTCTGTTTGTTATGCCTGCCTTTCTGGGTGCCTAACCCCAGTTAATGGCAGACATGGAATGCTCCCAAACACATGGGGATTTCTATAGGCCATTGCTCCCTGTGCCTCTCTGAGGGGGGCCAGGTTCTAGCTCGTGGTCCCCGATAGGCAGAACTCCATTGACTGATGCCTCAGACTAATATAACATATATCAGTCCCATAGCTCCAGGAAACCGAAGGAGCTTCCCCACAGAAAATATTTATTCCTCGCTCCCGCAACAAACATCCTCTGTAGACAGGCACTCAAGGGCCCTACTTGCACTCCTCCTTAACTGCAAAAGCCTGCCACCAATGCTCTGTGGCAGATTACCTTGTGGTTGCAGACAGTACCTTGTGGTTACCTTGCGATGATTTTGGAGTCGAGTCCCCCATGGACACTTTTGGAGCATTAGCAGGTACACAGGGAAAACCCTGAGCCCCCGCACACCAAAATACAACAAAAGCCAAGCCCACACAACAAGCCAGAACAAGAAACATGCACAGGAAGCTTGTACTAAAAGAAGAAAAAAACACAAAGCAAATAGTCCTACATGACTTTAACCATTGCTAGGCTAAGTCGGCACTTAGCTTAGCAATCTGACAGACTGGAAGCAATGTGAGCAGCACCACACGGTACCGCATCAGCAATAGAACCAAGATGGAGAATTGACTGAGATATGGAGCTAGGCCACCTGGTGGTTGTGATCAGTACTAATAAGTTTCGAGCTAGTTCTGGCGAATCCCTTGTTCTGTGTTTAGAGAGTTGCTTGGCAGATTCAAGGCTTCATATTCTGTAACCCCACCAGTTGTCTGTAAAACTGCACTGACTTTCTTGAGGCTTTTTTTTTTCCAGTGGATTGGTGGATTGTAACCTGCTATCTGCATATCTGTGAAGGGGTGCCAGATTTTGCCTCCGATCCCCAGTAGGTCAAACGGAACGTCCACAACTGATGTGACTTTTTAGTATGGTGCAATCTATAATAATAATAATAATAATAATAATAATAATAATAATAATAATAATAATAATATTATTTTATTCCGGAAAAGTACATACATAGATGCATTATTACAAACATAATGTTGGATTTATAGATAGAGCTAGTACATACCATACCTAAAGCCACTAATACGCATAGCGTTTCGGGCAAATACAACGTCTCTACAAGATAACTTCAAGGAGTTACCAGGGCATCATGCCCTCCATAAGGAGTTACCAGGGCATCATGCCCTCCAGAAAAATCATTTTTCAAAATTCATTTTTTATTGTTCACTGGGGTTTGCTGTGTAAATAGACTGTGCAGTGCAGGGGTTAATCACTTCTACCATAAATGACTCGGTGCATAAAGAAAATCACTTCGCTCATAATAATTACAGTATGGTGATGTGCTTTTAGTCTTTTCCTCACCTTTTCCTTTAATATATAGTCGATCCTTTGAGCCTGACCCATAGACGGGTTTTCTTCCTCTGGCTGAGACAAATTGTAGGGTAGTTTTGATGGGGGAATCAGAAACTGTTCTTGCAGCACTCGCACCACTTCTGGGCTGTCCGCAGCTACATCCTCACTGTTGTATTCTAATAAAGAGAGGAACTATTAATTAATCAAATCATGTCAATCTAGCTACATTATTTAAAGGCTATCCTATGAAACGTTTCACCATGATAATGATAATCTTAAGAAGAATTTTAAACCATGTCAGTCAGTCACTTACTCTTGCTGTTTATCATACCAAAATTGGGGATATTAGATTGTGGTTTAAGCAAGCCTGTCCCCCCCCCCCATTTGGTTGTCAGATTAGAGAAGTCATCACCACTTACTGTATTTGCCTTTCAAACACACAACCGTCATCATTTGTTTGGATGTCAACACAAACAAAGTCCTTACCATTAGTTCACCTATTACACAAGCCAAGTCATAACCATTAGCTCACCTATTACACAAGCCAAGTCATAACCATTAGCTCACCTATTACACAAGCCAAGTCATCACTATTTGTTTATATCACACATACCAAGATATCACCATTTGTTTGCATGTCACAAAAGGAAGCAATCACCATCTGCATGTGACAAGAAAAATAATCACCATTTGATTGGATGTCATAGAAGCAAGGCATCAACATTTGCATGTCTCTCAAGTAAATCCATCAGCACTCATTTGCATGTCGTACAAGCAAAGTAATCACCATTTGTTTGAATGTCACACAAGCCATTTGTTTGAATGTGCATGAACACCCAAGCAGCCTCTTATATCATCAGTAATCTTAAACATCGTGGACACAAGAAAACACAAGTGAGCCGAGTTAACATTAAAAAGTGGATAAATGCACAAAGAAATCACACTAACGTGAAGTATCAATGAGAAAATCAGTAGGCTCCGTGGGGGTGGTGCATGGCATTTGCTTGGGAGTAGCCATAGCATAGGGTTGAATCCTCCTCATGGCTCCTACTGATTTTCTCAGCGAATAAATAGTACAAGACAGTTATATTGTCACACTGGGATGTTATTGCTGATGCAAAATAACGTCTGAGGTACAAGACATTACAAATGTGCAAAATAGCCCCATTGAAAAGCATAGGTGCAATAGCTACGCTGAGGGACAACAGGGCCCCCAAGACATTTCAACACACTCCCACTACACATAAGGGGCATAACTGGCTGGCCTCTCACAGTGTTCAAGAGAGAATTCGACAAACACCTACAAAGAATACCTGATCAACCAGACTATAAATTCATACATCAGGCTGTGAGCAGCCGTGTCCAACAACCTGGTTGACCAGACCAACTGGGAGGCCTGGTTGGAGACCTTGGACTTTGATCCCCAGAACCTCCACAAGGTAGACACAAGGTAGGTAGGTAGCCACCACCGCAAATGCTGCCACAGCCACCATGTCACCTGTAGGCTACAACAAGAACCATGCATTAATTCCCACCCAAAACCCAAATCAGCTATTCAACATGTTGATGTCAGTCGGGCCAGATGTGTGGACGAACACAGATATCAACAAACCCAGCTGAATGCCTACATACTAACGAGTTCCGTTGTTAGCAAATAGCTAAGTAATTTCTGATTTTTCAATGTAAGTGTAATCCAGTACTAGAATATTATGTTATCATAACAGATTAATAACTCTTGAAGTAACAGTATTCCAGCACTTTGCTTTTGTCTGAACAATGATTTTGATACTACGTAATGAGTATTTTTCATACTATCTTCAGTTAATTTTTCATCACTATGTCTGCCCCACTAAACTGCTTAAGGCTCTGGCACTAGACTTCCAAATGCTGTCAAGCCCCTAGACTTGTGTGGCCTACCAATAACAATCTGGTTAGCTCAAAGAGGCAAGGAGAACAAGGGAATTGGAGATCAATCCTAAATTGTGTAAACAACCCAGAACGTTATAAACAAAAGAAAAACCAATGTTCTTTATTATTAAAAAAAAAAAAATTAAGTCGAAAGCAGGTTAACAACCTTATCTCCAGCTCACCCAAACACCGCCAGTTGGCAGCCCACGTCGCCAGGAACCCGGTCCAACTCCTAGAGCATATCTTATCTTGAGGTTAAGAGCATATCTTATCTTGAGGTTATCTTGAGATGATTTAGGGGCTTTTAGTGTAGTATATCTGGAGCATACCCAGAGTAAGTTTTGGGAGTTATACTCCGCAAGCCCTGCCTCACCCCTCTCTCGTGCTTGTCTGGTGCTGATCAAATTACACTTGCCTGCAAAAACTGTTCTATCTCTACAATATGGCATTTTACAGATATTGGGTGCTTGCATTCTTCAGGTCATTCATTTCCACAGAGGTCATGTTTTGTGTATCGTTCTTCAATGTGCTTCACTTTATGCTTATGGTACCCACCTCTTGTGCCCCTGACTGAATATAATAATCCCAACCCGTCCTCAACTCAAGTCCATTCCATCCAGCGGTTGACCCCACAGATTCATTCATAAATTTTTACAGAGGCACCTTGACTTACAACTGCCCCTACTTACGAATTTTTGAGTTACTACTTAAATTTCGTCGGAAAACGCGACTCAACTTACGACCTTTGCCTCGACTAGCGACATTGTTGACATGAGTATAGGTCGACCGATCACGTGGTTCCTGGTGGCACAGCTGACCCTGCCTCAGTTTACCAGAGCCGCCCACTTAGTGACAATTGTGATTGTAAAGAATTTAATTATTTTTGGGTTAATTTTTAATTTTTTTAACATGAAAGTAATTATTGTATATCATGCCATGGGTCCCCAAGAAAGTCAGTGGTAAGGTTCAACCTAAGAAAACACATGTGAGGATGACCACAGAGGAAATACACGAGATCATTTGTAAACATGAAAATGGTATGAGGGTTGTTGATGTTGAGTAGAGGATGGTCCTTCCTCTTTTATCACGAAAAAGTGTGCAGTATGGGAAGAATTGCAAAGTTTTGCTGAAAAGTGTCACCCAAATCAAGCTGTAACAGACCGTTGTGTTAACCTATTTAATAACAATAGGCAGTCTCACTTCAGACAAGTGATAAAATGTAGGGAATAACAAGTGTTGCTAGACAGGTTTTTAATGAGAAAAACAAGCAGTGAGCCACAAGCAGGTCCTAGTGGTATGCAGGCAAAACGTTGGAGTGTACCCCAGAAAAGTCATCACGGCCTGATGTTATAATGGAAGGGGACTCCCCTTCCAAACATTAACACCTCTCCTCCTCACCATCTTCCATACACCAACAAGAGTCCTTATTCAAGGTAAAATATACACACAGTACTGTATTGTAGCTAGTACAAAATGTTATTCGGTATAAAATGTATTTTTACGCTATTATTTTTGGGAGGTGTGGAATGGATTAATTTAATTTACATTATTTCTCATGGGAAAATTCATTTTGACTTACGATCCATCTCTAGAAACGGATTAAATTTTTAAGTCAAGACCCCACTGTACATGCTGTTCATTCAAAACGGGAATTTTCTCCAATACAGTATAAATTAATATTATAATATATTAGCAACTTGTTCATATATAGACATAGGTTAGGTTACGTGTTTAGGTTCTGTTGCTGATTATTTGTATTTGTAGTACGTGGGTGAAGCATTTACAGCATTGTGGTTCAAACAAAATTTGTCAGTGAAGCACTTGTTCCGGAAGTGTTCGAACGAAATCAGTTGAGTCTCGTGTGTGAACCATTTTTCATTCATAAACAAGGGGTTTGGCAGGTGCACAAAATCACTTTTGGGTCTTTGTTTGAAGGACGGGCTGAATAATACCACTTAATTTCAGGGTTAATTTCAATGGTGCAGTCTAAATTGTCTTGTGCTGAAGTGGAGCATAATTCAGTCCACTACCGAGAGAAACCTCACATTATAACAGCAATGAAAGTCTCAAAAAAACAGCGTTGAATGTAATGAAACTCCATTTCCTAGGTGAGCCCCGGAGGCTCCCTGGAGCTTATCGGACTAATGTATTTATTTTTTTTTTTTTTTTTTTTGTTTTTAGATATATACAAGAGTTGTTACATTCTTGTACAGCCACTAGTACGCGTAGCGTTTCAGGTAGGTTTCTGGAATACGATCCCCACCTTGCAAAGAATTGTTTTTACAACCAAGTACACATTTTACTGTTGAGTTAAACAGAGGCTACCGTTAAGGATTTGCGCCCAGTAAATCCTCCCCGGCCAGGATACGAACCCATGACAAAGCGCTCGCGGAACGCCAGGCGAGTGTCTTACCACTACACCACGGAGACTGGTAATATTAGACTGGGACATTAGCTAAGGAGTTCAGACCTACCAGGGACCAGCGACAGAACCTGGCCCCTTCAGAGAGGTTTCAGGGAGCAATGGCCCTGGAAAACCCCAGTTTGTGGTTGGGGGTTTTCCTTATCTGCCATCGACCAGGGTTAGGCACCCAGAAAGGTAGGCATAACAAAACAAACCCCACATGGTAAAAAACTAAAACAAAAAACCGAACAGAGAGGTAGAAACCCTACAATCCCAAGGAAACAAGCAAACATCACACTTTACTGCCGCGCCGATCATCTGCGTAGCCCTCCCCGCCCCGAGAGGGGGAGGGGGGGGAGCCCCGGACCTCACCTCACTGGCTGCTTAGCATCAGTTCGGAAGCTAAGCTTCAACCAACGCGAAAAAAACGCCGACCGGTGGGAGGGAGGGTTGCCAGGGAGCCTCCGGGGATCACCCAGAAAATGGCTGTTCATTACATTCAACACTGGTTTTCTGTGGGGAGCCTCTATGGCTCCCTGGAGCTTCATACCCAAAGAGAAGAAAAAGAAAGGGCTGACACAGGAGGCGGCCGCCACAAACTCCGTAATGCGAAGCCGAGACAACAGGCTGCAACCTGCGATCCAAGGCAACAAGAACGCACAGGAACAGACACACGCGTAAAGAATGGGCAGCCAGGAACCTGTGCGACCCTCAAATCCTTGCACCCGAAATGAGCCCTAGACGTCACCAACAGAGCAGTGAAAACTGCAAACGTCCGAACAGCACGGGCACCAGGACAGACCGCAGGCTGGAAGACAAAACTCTGCGGACGACCTGGGAGACCCGAGCCTTGAAACAGGGAAC